GACATGGGGGACAACCTGGCCCCAAGAGCCCTCCCAGACCCCCCCACCGAGCGCAAGAGGGCCCCAAGAAGGCCCCAAGAGAGGCCTCAAGAGTGCCCTAAGAGGCTCCGCGAGGACCCCAAGAGAGCCCCAAGATGGCTCCAAGAGACCTCCGAGAAAACGCTTCCAAGGCGACTGTTGCACTGTACTCTTCTACGCTTGCCTGATCAAGGCAACTCGCCTGGCGATCTTTTTTTGGATTGGCTGGTGTGCATTTTTTTCGCGGCCGCAAGCGGAAGCGTAGGCGGCGTCCGAAGTCAGCCCGGGCAACGAGCCAAACCTAATTTCCTAAGCGCGCGAAATAACGGCCGCCGGAGCTGCCGCCGAGGGACGCCGAGCGACGCCGGGGACTGAAGGCAGAGCTGCAAGAGGTGCCAGGTGTGCCAGGCGGCTGAAGTGCAACCATCCCAGGGGCGGGACCACTGGGAAGGCAAACGAATTCTACCTTGTCGCGCCATGCGCCACAGGTAAAGGGGCCACCTGAGCAGAGCACGGCGTAGCGCGGGGCTGAGCAAGCAACCCAGCGTACCTGTGTCGCATGCCAACAGTGGCAACCTCAGGTGGTTGAACAAGAAGGCTAGACCACTCAGGAGCAAACCGCGTGGAAATGCACCCCACACTTGCTGGTGTGGATACTTTTTTTTTGGTCGCGGGCGGACGCGGAATCGCAGTCGCCGAGCTGAAAGGTCCGGGCCACGGGCCTATCAAATTAGCAACGCGCGAGCCTAAGAGCACAGCGGCCGTCTCTCTCTGGTGTGGATACTTTTTTGGTTCGCGGCTCCAAGGCGGATGACAGGGAGCAAAGACATCTGGCGTGGATACTTTTTTGATCTGCGGCTCCAAGGACGATTCCAGAGAGCGGGTCGAAACAAGCTTGGGGCAACAAACAAGATAATTGCCAGCGGGCCAAAAGCCAACGCCGGAATGCACATGCGAGGAACAAAATGACTTTCATTAAGCCGATCCAAAACGGCAGCCGACGACTGACAGCGGGGCGTCGCACAGTGGCGCCAGCACCCGACAAACCGGACGGCGAAGGGCAGGGCACAGCGGGCAGCTGAAACCCTGGCAGAAGCCCGCCCGCGAAAGTGCAACGAAGGCGAGCAGAAAGAAGCACGTAAGCCTCACTCACAAAGCACCTCATGTGCTCGAAGCTGGCATCACAGAGCCAGGCGCCAGCGGACTTGATGTGAAGTCGAGTAGAAACACCAATGCACAAGGGGGGAACGTCACGTGGGCCAGAACGTTATCACCAGCTGTCGGCTGTGAACTGCCGGTGGGCGAACGACGGGACGTCAGACCGGTGAGCACGTCCCAGCCTGACTGCGCCCCAGGTGCAGGAAGTCGGTGTGGGCCGACTTGCCAGTGCAACAATGAGCGCACCCTATTGCGTGAGAGCGAACACGTCGAAGGGCCCGCCACTGCAGTCGTCGTGAAGGAAGAGGGGGGGGGCGCAGCCGATAGGCGCAAATCAGTTGAATACAAAGGAGGAGGAGGAGGAGAGCCATGTGGCGACACAGACAGTCGAGGACCCATCATGGCGTAGTCGGAATGTAGTCAGCGGAAGGCGCCTGCCTGGTGGGGGGGAAACGCCACCAGAGCAAGGTCACCAGTCGTCGGATGTGCAGCGTGTGGAGCGTACGAGGCGGGCCTTGGGCCGGCGGCCCCAGCCATCCAAAGTGAGTGGCCAAGCGGGCGAAACGGGCCCATGTCCGTGTGAACAGGGCCAAAGTGAACCGTGGGCAGGAATTATTGCAGCCATAACCACACGGACTAAGAACCCACGATGCACCGTGGGAGTCTAGACGCAGTGTTGTGAGAGGTGCACCTCACCTCCAGGAGGTGACACGAGAGTATTAAGGCCAAGGCCTGTCACTGCGGTGAAACGAGCCCCTGTCGTGAAGGAGCCACCCCGCCGGCGGTGGCCCGTGGGGGCAGCTGTCAGTGTTGAGCGCACCCTATTGCGTGAGAGCGAACACGTCGAAGGGCCCGCCACTGCAGTCGTCGTGAAGGAAGAGGGGGGGGCGCAGTCTGGTGTGGATACTCGAAGCGTCAAGAATTCGTGAAACCACCTACGCCCAGAGGGCTGCTGGGACTGCAGGTTCTGACGAACTCGCCTTTTCGCTCTCGACGGGCCAGCCCTTCAGTCCTCCAGATGCCCTCCAGACGGCCCAAGGGGCTTCCGAAACGAAAGAAGAGGGCCCCGACATAATCTTCCAACACGTTCCAGGAGCACGCCCTCCCCCACCCCCCCAAACGCTTCCAACAGGCTCCCCGAGGCGCGCGGTCGGACGGATGTTCCCGGAGGCCTCTCCAGGAACATCGGGCCAACGACGACGATGACGGTGTTCATACACATTCTGGTGATGATGATGATGATGATGATGATGATGATGATGATGATGATGATGATGATGATGATGATGATGATGATGATGATGGGTAAGACGATGACAGCTACGATGTGCACAAGTAGCGTAACGATGTTGATCATGGTGATGGAAATGATGATGAAGATGATGATTTAGATAATGAGGATGATGGTGATGCTGATGGTGATGCTGATTATGATGATACTTGTAATGCTGAAGGTGATGCTGATGCTGTTGGCGACGATTCTATTTGTTCACATGATATGTATGATGATTGTGGTGGTGGTGATGATGATGACGATGATGATGATAACAATGATGATGAAGCAGAGGATTAAAACTATTAGTGTCATTTTAATACTGGTGAGGGTAATCATGACAATGCGCGAATTTGACGTGACGACATGGCTACCTGCAATGGCCCACGAATGCTCTCTATTATACTGCTGCTGCTGTTGTTGTTGTTTTTGCTGTCGTCGTCATTGCTGTTGTTGTGGTTGTGTTTGGTGTGGTTGTTGTTGTTTTTGCTGCTGTTGTCGTTGTTGTTATTTTTGCTGTTGTTGTTGCTGCCGTCATCGTTGTTTTTGTAGTTGTCATGTTTACTGTTGTTGTTGTTGCTGTGATTTCTCAGTTCTAAAGACTAATCGTTGTCGATCCTTCCTCCCCTGTAACCAATGTTTTTCAATTGAAATGATTATCCCTGGGCTCGCACTTTGTTTTTTTCAAGGGGGAAAGCGAGTTGTCACCAACTTGCGCCCCTGGCCCCCGGTTTACAACAGCGATTCTCGCCTGATACTTCTTCAGAACTTATTCCCAAATTGGGCTCTCGCGCGGGACTGCCCCACAATTTGTGCAGACATCGAGCTCTTGCGTGGGATTTCCTCACAGACTATTTAGACGCCGGGCACTAGACACTCAGGAATCACGCTCTCGCTTTGTATTTTCTCACGATTTATTTGGGAATCGCGCTGTCGCTCGAGACTCCTCGCGATTCATGCAGGACGCACGCTTCAGCAACCCGCCTGCTCGACCTGGCCGCCTGGGCCCTCCTTCCCGACCCGCCTGTTAGGGTCTACCCGCCTTATCTGCCCGTCTGGTTCTGCCACGTGTTTTCTGCTCCTAGCCCCCCTCCTGCTACTCTCCCTCGTGCTCCATCTTCCTTTCTCCTTCTTGTCCCTTCCTTGCATCCGTCCTCTCTTCCCCGCCTTAGGCGCTGCACGAAGTACACGCTGCAGGTAAGACAGATGTACCTACAAGGGGGTACGGCCGAAGACGAAGAGGGTGGGTATCGAGGGTTTGGGTTATACGTGTTGAGTGGCACACGAGCAGATAAGAGCGAACAGTCGTAAACTGATTGGTGTTGTTGTTGCCGTTGTTGCTGTTGTGGTTGTTTATGTTGCTGGTGGCTGCTGTTGTTGTTATCATTACTGTGATTATTGTTGTTGCTGGTGTTGTTGATGATGAGGATGAAGACGAAGACGGCGGTGATGATGATGCCGATCATGAGAATGATAATGATAATGATGATGATAATGATGATGCTGATGATGATGGTAAGGAAGATGACGATGCTGACGATGATGATGACGACTTCGGTCATGATGACTATTATGATGACCATGGTGACATTGGTCATGCTGATTATTCTGATGACGATGAGTCAGATGATGAGTACTGTGGGGTTAAGGGCGGGAATGACCATGAGTGCGAACGGGTACGACTATGTCACGCGCTTGTGCATGATAGCGCTGTCCGAGCTCTTCCAGCGATCCTCAGGCCTGCGCTAGAGCCTGAGGCTTGCGAAACGCGCGCGATGATTCAACCATATCTGTATATATACATATACATATATACGCCCAGTTTCTTTCCCTCTCGATCAATCTCTCTCTCTCTCTGTCTGTCTCTTTCTCTCTTCGGTCTGTCGCCCTGCCTGATGCATGTGTCTGTGTGTTTGCGCGTGCGACATGTTGCATGCATCTGGGGCACAGTTTGGTGAGCACACCGCGGCGGAGCGTCTGCAGGCAGGCCTGCTCCCACGGGGGTGGCCCGAGGCACGAAAGCTGTGGCGTGTCGCGCCCTCCTGCACAGCGAGCGGCCCCCTGCGCTCGACCTGCGGGAACAGCGCATCCGGAACGTTCGAGTGCGCTGCTCCTGGTGGTTTGGAGCGTCTCCTCTTCGTCCTTCGCGTGAAGCTTCAGCTGCATGCTGCGGGGCAGCTTTGCTGCTGTCGTGCGCGGTCTCAGAGATCGTGGAGTCACCGTTGCTTGCCAGCTGTGATGGTGTGTGGCGTATGTCATGGGTAAAGTGCGAAACGTTCGAAGGCCTTCGAAATCCTTCGAAGGCCTTCGAAGGCCTTCGAGCTGTCTTCGGTGGCCCCCGCGTAGCTCCAGAGAGCTCTGAAGAAGGGGGTGGAAAAGCGACCTCTCTAAATCACATACGCTCAGAGGGCTGGTGGCATTGCGCTCAGAGTCACCAGCGCCATTCCTGTCGTCTTCGCTTCCATCGTTGTCGTCACGGAGCCTCTTGGCTCGCGTCTAGTGGCGTGCAGCTAATTTTCTCGGTCTGTGCTTTGCGCAGGAGGCGGCGGCCATGAAACCTTTCAGAACTCACGGTGCTGAGGGCGCTAAAGGATTCACGTTGCGACCGCCAGTGCGGTCTTCCCCCCTCCCCCTCTCCCTTCCCCCCCGTCCCCGCGAGGCGAGGCAATAGGGGCCAGGGGTGCCGAAACGGGGAGGGATGACTGGCTCAGAAGAAGAAGAAGAAGAAGAAGAAGAAGAAGAAGAAGAAGAAGCGTCGACCCCTAATAGCCCAGTTGTCGAAGATCGGGGCTTGGGTGCTCCGCCCCGCCGAGGAGCGCGCGGCTTTGCAGTTCCGGGGGCGTGTCGCAGATCCACCGGAGACGTCTTGTGGGTTTCGGGGCGCTTTTTCTCGGAGGTTCCCTCCTGTCGTCCTCTCGGGGGCAGCCACGCAAAGGGGTGACCACACCGTGTGGAGAGTCAGTGGGGGCTCGGGGTCGCTGCGCCGTGTCGGTACTCGGGCTACTCGGGGCTTCTGGGGTTCCCAAAGCCTTGGGGCGATGGACCGTGCGGTGAGGTCCTTCGGGATTTCGGGGTCATCGCACGGCCTGTCACCGCACGGTTTCAGGACCCCCGAGGCCCCTCGCTCAAGACGTTCGCCGACATGCTTTTTTCTGCTCCGCGGCGCCAGAAGTGCCGACCCTCTCCCAGGGCCAGCGTTTCGCCCCAGGCTTGTTTTTGATGGCCCTGGGGCCCGGTGACGGGCCCCAGAGATGGTAAGTCCTCGGGCTGCGCACAGACAGCCCCCCCAGGTAGACCGGGCTGGCCTCAACAGGTTCACGTGTAGTCCAAGGCGGTCTCGAACCTCATGACGCGGAGCGCCTCTCCTCCTCCTCCTCCTCCTCCTCCTCCTCCTCCTCCTCCTCCTCCTCCTCCTCCTCCTCCTCCTCCTCCTCCTCCTCCCCCAGGCTACTCGGGTGGCCTGTCGAGGCCAGCCTGGGCCGCTCGGGGGGCCGGTGGGGGCCAGCCGTGACTGCCTGGGGGGGCTGTCTGTGCGCAGCTCGAAGCCTCACCAGGAGCAGGGGGGGGGGGCGGGAGGACGGGACCTGGTGGTCGCAACGAACGGGGCCCCCCAGGCGCCGCCGAGTGGGGCGAGGAGCCCTCGCCGAGCAGGTCCGTCTCCACAGCCTCCGGCAGCACCTGCAGCGACGGGGTGCCGGCGGTCCCGCCCTGGTGGACGCTCGTGTGGTGCCACGAGCGCTGCCACAAGCAGGCCCTGCAAGTCAGAACCTGGGTGACCCGCAGGGATTGAGGCGCAAGGCTTTTGGACTTTTTCGGTCCGTCGGGGCTCTCGCCAGGCGCTGGGACCGTCAAAGACGACTTGTGACGAAAAGCCGGTCCTTAGGCAGATGGTCGAGACCTCTGGGGGTTCACGGTTTGACGAAAATCACGGCGTCGGGGTTCTGGGGGAAGATTCGGAAAAGGTGTCGAGCCGAGTTTCCCCTTTGCAGGGGGGGCGCGCGAGTGCGCGAAGATGACCGCGCTTCAGGGCATCTCGCAGCGCGGAGCGGCGCAGGGCCAGCTGAGCAATGATACTAGACGCCTTCCTCGTCCCTGCCTGGGGCGCCGATGGCCCCCCCCCAGGGTCAGGTACTTCAGCACGGTGTGCGTTTCCCCCCTCCCTGCAGGGGTGTTTGGGGGGAGGGGGGCCGACGTGGTGCACCGTGCCTGCCTCCTGGGACATCGTCGGCGCCCAGGTCCGTTTTTTCTTACTGCTTCTCCTTGGAGCAGGGGTGCGACGGGGAGCGGGCCGCCATCACGGACACGGTCCAGGACGCGGGCGCCACCCTGGTCTGCCTCAAGAAGGCGACGAGGTTCTCCTCGTGGATGAAGCAGGCCGGCCAGTCTCCCTACGGCCTCTTGACAGACTGGAGGGAGGCCAAGCCGTGCATGGAGGCCATAGAGACGTGCTCGCCGAGCGACCGACCAGCCTTCCTCGTGGTCTACTGCGAGTTGCCGAGGTGCCGCGAGCGCGCCACCGCGTGGGCCAGCGCCCGGCCCTGTGGGGCGACGCCAGTGCGCATCCTGGCAAGGCCTCGGGCTGCGCACAGACAGCCCACGCTGGCCTCAACAGGTCCCCCGAGTAGTCCGGGAGCGGTCTCAACACCCCAAGCCTGGGGCGCAGAGCGCACGGGGGGCGTTGCCTGAGACGGCGCCAGGGTGTTGAGACCGCTCCAGACTACCGGGGGGGCCCGATGAGGCCAGCCAGGACTGTCTGGGGCGGTGGGGGCCGCCCTTTGCGCAGACCGAGGCCCTGCCAGCGCATCCTCGCCGATCTGGACCACCTGTCGTTCTGCCTGAATGCCTTGGTCGCCAATCTGGCTCTCGGCAGGGCCCTGCGCGGCCACCCCAGTGCGGCGCCCTGTGGCGGGCGCCCGTATGGGCAGCAGCTTGGCGTCGGGAGCTCGCCCGACCAGCGCCTCGCCGCCCAGGCCGCCGTGGCCGCCGCGGACGAGGACCACCTCCTGGAGGCGCGGTACGAGAGGATGAGGAAGAACCGCGACTCGATGTGGCTGCCGTGCTGGGCCAGCGCACCGACCCACGGCGCGGTGCACGAGCCGTGGCGCCATCAGCGGAGACGGGTAAATGGCGAAGACATGAAGTTTCGGAGCTCCGCGCGGATTTCTTGGATCTTGCTTTGGAACCGCCTGGCGGCACGTCCGGCGCCACCCCTGGCCCAAGAAGTCCGCGCGGAGCGCCGAACGTGCATGTCTACGCAGCTTTTTCCTTCTTCTGCATCAGCTCCAGGCCTGCGGCGTGGTGCCCGCGCACTTCCAGCAGGCCCCGCTGCAGCCAGTGGCGGCAGGCTGCGTGTACGTCCGTGTGGAGTGCGCAGAGGCTCCAGCGGTGCAGGGGCGCGGCTCGCAGCAGATCGAAGCGATGCTGGTCAGCGCGATGCCAGACCACTACGACGACTGAGCAGCGTTGAGCTCTCTGGAGCGCAGCGGTGCGATGGGTGTTGGCATTCTTGTCTTCCCTCGTCCTCCAATTTTATGCGGGGTCATCCCCCCCCCTCTGATGGGGGGCTCTGCACCTTGATTGTGTGTACATAGTGCCCCTGGATGTCGTACAGAACTCCCCAGGGGTGCGTGCATGGCTCCTCCACCGCAGAGCGTGGGAGATGCCACCTGGTGCGCGTCCGACAAAGAAACTCGGTCTGCACTTGTCCTCCAAAGCTGGTTGTCCCCAGCTCCTGTTGTGTATTCCTATTGTGATGGCCTGACGGCCTGTGCCGCCGACCCTGAACGACATCGACGACGACCAGGAGGGGGAAGAGGATGAGGAGGAGGAGCAGGAGCAGGAGCAGGAGCAGGAGGAGGAGGAGGAGGAGGAGGAGGAGGAGGAGGAGGAGGAGGAGGAGGAGGAGGAGGAGGAGGAGGAGGAGGAGAGAGGAGATAAGGAGGAGGAGGAGGAGGAGGAGGAGGAGGAGGAGGAGGAGAGAGGAGGAGGAGGAGGAGGAGGAGGAGGAGGGAGGAGGAGGAGGAGGAGGAGGAGGAGGAGGAGGAGGAGGAGGACAAGGACTCCCCCTGGGATCCCCGCCCTGGGGAGGAGGACCTGTTGTTTATATTCCCACTTTTTGAGCCGCAGGTGAGCACCGCGCAACGGCCAAGCCGGGGCGGCGGGACTCGGCGGCGTCGCACATTTTTTCTTCCCCGCTGCCGCTGGCCTTGCGGACCCAGCGTCAAATCGGGCCTGTCCCTCTGCAGGAGGGATCTTCAAACATGGTCAGAACATAGCCAGGGGACCACTTTTTGAGAATTTGTTTGAGATTTGTTTGTATATATTTGGGGTATTTTCGTTTTTTTTGTTGTTGGTTGTAAGTTGTTGTTTAACATTTTTTTGCCCCAAAAATCCGCCTGTGTGGGGACAGGCCCGACCTGAATCTAGCCGGCGCCAGCCGCTGAGCCCGGGGACCGAGCCGTGGGGCTGTCCCGAGTGCCAGGCCGGAGTTCGGCGCTGGCCTTCCCTCGCGGGCGACGCCCTCGCCCCCCAGGGCGGGAGCAACAAGAGGCTCTCCGGCCAGCGCTCGGGCTGTGGGAGCCTCTTCGGGTGGTGCTCAGGAGGCCCGAGTCCTGGCCGGACTCCGTGCGGCCCTCTGTCGAGGGAGGGGGAGCTGAGCGGCCCTGGACATCTGCTAGACAGCCCCGCCCTGCCTGATTCCCTCTGTGGCTGCGTTTGCTAAACGGCTTCGCGTGCAGGGGTGATGACTTATGGGGTCGGAGTTCCTTCCCTCTGAGTGTGGCCCTTTTGAATGCAGTTACTCACCACCCACCAAACCACCCCAACCCAACCCGAAGGCTCGAATTTACAGTCGATTTCCAGTGGGGGGGGGGTCGGGAAACATCGAAAAAACACACACGTGGAACCCTTCCCCCCCCAAGCCGAAATTCGGGTTTTCGGGTTGGGTTGGGGTGGTCTGGTAGGTAGTCAGTTGCACGGCCGATTGGTCCGGCCAGTGCTCGGGTGAATTTTTTTGTGGAGCTCCAGCGACGCCTCTGGGAGCCCAGCGCCGACCAGAATGCTCTCCTGGCCCCTCCTCCTCCTCCTCCTCCTCCTCCTCCTCCTCCTCCTTATCTCCTCCTCCTCCTCCTCCTCCTCCTCCTTGTCCTCCTCCTCCTCCTCCTCCTCCACGTCCCACTCCAAAGCTCAGAGAAGAAGGGGGAACTCGGGGTACACCCCCAGGGGTCTGTTCGGACGTGCCCCCATCGAGGATGGGTGCCCCCCGCCCCGTATTCAATATCCCCGAGCTGGACCCCAACTTCGTGGTCTTGTCGGAGCCCCAGAAAGTCGGGGATTGGGTCGGCATCCTGTTAGTCCCCCTCCTCCCCCTTCTCCGTCCTGTCATCGCAGAAGAGCGAGGTGCCCAACGGGCTGAGCGCGAGAAAGCGGCGAGCACGTACGAACGGAGCAAATTGCCGCCAGGGGTGTGCGGAGACCGCCAAGGCTGCCTCGCTCGTCTGCCACGCTCGTCTCTCCGCCTCTCCATCGCTTCATCTTGTCGCTTCGCCCATCCCGAGACGACATGAGTAGAATGCTGTTCCAACCTCGCAATGAACTGGCCCTGCAGTACTGGACGAACCTGCAAAGCGGCCTCGCTCGCTGAGCGCTCTTCCTCTCTCAGTGCGCCTCCGCCTCGATCTCGTCCTGCCCCCTCGCCCAGGCGGTGGCTGCCGCTGCCCGCTCGGTGCTGCTGCGGCGGAGGCGGCGGCTGCTGGCCGCGGCCGCGCCCCTGAGGGGAACAGGCACGACCCCAGCTGCTGCAGGGGGCATTTCGGGGTCGAGGGTGGAGGATCGAAGAAGGTCGAGGAGGATCGAGGATGAGGAGGATGAGGAGGATGAGGAGGAGGAGGAGAAGGATGAAGAGGAGGCCGCGGAGGAGGAGGCGGCTGAGGAGGAGGAGGAGGAGGAGGAGGAGGAGGAGGATCGGATGAGGATCGAGGATGATGTGCACGAGCACGAGGATGAGGATGAGGATGATAATGGTAATGATGATGCTGCTGATGATGACGATGATGAGGATGGTGATGATGCTGATGATGCTGCTGATGATGTGGATGATGATGCTGAGACTGATCATGATAATCAGGATGATGCTGCTGGTGACGATGACTCTGACGATTTCGATGACGATGACAATGATGATGAAGCTGATGATGATGAGGAGGAGGATGACATGATGGTGGTGATCCCTGGGACTTCTTCTTGCAAAAGCCCTGCGGCCAGTGCCGCCGACCCTGAAGGGAGACGACGACGACGACGACGACGAGGACGACGACGACGACGACGACGACGACGACGACGACGACAATGGCGGCGGCGGCCACGACGACAACGCTGACGTCGGCCAAAGTCATCAGGGGGCCTCTTCGGGCTTCTTGCCCCCAGAGGTCTCGGCCCATTCCCTTGGACTTATTTGTCATGCCGAGCCGCTCTTGGACGGCCCCAGGCCCCCCAAGGTTTGAAAATCGTTCAAAAACCTCCCTGTCGTGATTTTCCCATGGCCCGAGGGAGCCTGTCGGACGGGGCTTCGACAAGGACATCTCCGTTCCAGACCGTTCTGGGGAGCTCCCAGGAACTTCTGGAACGCTCTGCGAAGGCCGGGGCGCCCGAAACATCCCCCAGAACCGCCAGATCTCAGAGATTCTGGACTTCTCTTCGCCCAGTTTTATCATCGTCCTGGCTTCGTCTTAGTCTGAGTCTGGAGCTCCCCCCCTCCAGCTGATTAGTTCCGGCGACCCGGCGAGGCTCCGCCGCCGGCGCCGCCGGGGCGCGCCCGCCGCCGCCGCCGACGCAGCGAGCACCGGCGCCCTGCCAGCTCCAGAAGTAAGGGCCGGATCCTCCTGGGGGGTCGAGCCTGGCAGGTTCGCCTCCTCTTTCTCCTCCTCCGCCCTCTCCTCCAGGAGGAGGAGGATTAGGATTAGGAGGAGGAGGAGGAGGAGGAGGACGAGGAGGAGGAGGAGGAGGAGGAGGAGGAATATGATGATAATGATGATGATGATGATGATGATGATGATGATGATGATGATGATGATGAGGAGGAGGAGGAGGAGGAGGAGGAGGAGGAGGAGGAGGAGGAAGAGGAGGAGGAGGAGGAGGAGGAGGAGGAGGACGAGGAGGAGGAAGAGGAGGAGGAGGAAGAAGAGGAGGAGGAGGAGGAGGACCAGTGGAAACCACCCAGGAATCATCAATGATGTTGTAATAAACCCTCGCTCCAAACTCCCTTTTCATAAGCATCTACAAGGGTTCATGTCCACTGCGAGAACTGCCTCGTTGGGAGGAAACCGTTTGAAGACCCTGAAGCGTGCCAAAACACCATTCTCGGGACGCCAACGCCTCGAATCAACCTGACTGTTGCGTTTTGGCGATCCTGAATCGTGCGAATTCAACATCGCGAGTCAACACAACTGTTGCGCCATCAGAATCCTGAGCCCTTCCAGAACATGATTTCTGGCACGTTAACCTTGGAATCCGTGACAATCTTTCAATTTTTCAAAACCAATGTGCACGACGCTAAGGCGAGAACTACATTTTGAAATCGAACCGCTCTAAATCCGTGAAACTCTTTCAGTTTTTCGAAGCGAATGTGTGCGGCGCTAACGCGAGAACCACATTTTGAAATCGAGCCGCCCTCAATCCGTGAAGCTGTTGCAGTTGTTTGAAACGAATGTGTGCGGAGCTAACGCGAGAGGTACATTTTGAAAACGAACCGCACTCACGCCATGAATCTCCTACAGTTTTTAGAACGGTTGTACGCGGCGCGAAAGCGAGAGCCAGATTTTGCAAACGACCCGCCCTCCATCCGTGAAGCTCTTACAGATATTCGAAGCGAACGTGCGCGGCGGTAAGGCGATAACCAGATTTTGAAATCGACTCGCACTCAATCCGTGAAGCTCTTACATTTGCTCAACAAGTGTGCGCGGCGCTATGGCAAGAGCCACATTTTGAAAACTACCCGCCGTCCATTTATGAAACTGTTGCCCGCTTCTAGGCTTCAGAGCCATAATTGGTGAGGGCGTCTCAGTTGCAACGCCCGGCGCGCCCTTTCGACCTGCCTCGGGGTGCGACAGGGAGGAGTTATTCCCCATATCCAAAGATGGGGTTCTTGTTATTGGCGGACCGCGCCGGAAGGACACAGAACAGGACAGAACACCACACTCATCACTCAGACTCACTCATCAAGACTCACTCATCACTCAGACTCAGTCCTCACTTAGACACACCACTCATCACTCAGACTCACCACTCAGATTCACTCATCACTCAGACTCACTCATGCTCTCTCACCACTCAGACTCAGTCATCACTCAGACTCAGACGATTCGCTCGTCTCAGCAATCTAAGGGGGGCGGCGGGGGGGTATTTCACGGGGTCCCGTTCGCGGAATTTTGTGGGGATGTCTCAGGCGGTTTGGCCATTTT